ACCATTACTAACACTAATACTAGTACAAAATCCGATTTTAAAAAAGAAATTAATAACAATAGTATTAATAATCGTAGTAGTGATAATCATAATAGTAGTAGCAAGAGTTCAATAATAAAAAAGGCAATGTCAATGGACTCTTTAAACCAAAAGACAATATTCTCTAATACTAAAAAAAGAAATGCAAGCCTTGATTCTAATTCATTTATTAACATTGAAGATAACAGCAGCAATAACAATAACAATAATGATGATGATGGTGACAATAATTGGTTCATAAATAATGAGGTTAGTATTTATAATAATATCATTATGTAATGTAACATGTTATCAATATTTTATAAATAATTTCAAACTCCTATTAATCACCTTTTTCAAATTATAATAATTCAATAAAAGATGAAAAATGACTATTTTAAAAGATATTCTGATTCATACATGATTGCTTTAATTGGTAAACCAAATGTCGGCAAATCAACGATAATTAGGACTGGTCTTAATAATTTAGCACCAATAACAAATGTCGGAAAAGAAGAAAGTTTGGTGTATGGTAAAATAAATAAATTTCTTTCTTGGTTCAATCTGATTAAATATAATAATATAATATAATATATATACATATTAGCACCTACATTAACAACAGAGATTGATGTTGATGATCATTCTTATCCAGCCCAAGTGTTGGAAATTCAAGAAAATGTATTTAATATGAAATCATCATCAATAAAAATAAAAACAAAAATAAAATGATGATTATAATTATAATATTAACTATTAATGATCACATAGGATTTACCAGATATTGATGGAATTTTAGTTTGTTATGATGTGACTTCAAGAGCATCGATTGCAAACATAGCATGGTTACTAAGTAAGCAAATTATCAAATGATCAATAAATAAAACAATATTTCACATTTCATATTTTGTAAAATTAATAATGTTTTAATTAGACGCGTTCAAAGAATTCCAAGTACCGATGATATTAGTGGCATGTAAAGCAGATTGTGATGAAATAAAAAGGTGATACTAGAAAAGCACGGGTGCAGGGATCCGCAAAATTCACCTGTGCTTTTTCTAGAAGGTAATGTAATAATATATAATGATCAAACATCATAATATTAATATACACAGATAAACTCGATAAGTCGGATTCAGACAAAATTTCCAACCCTTTTTTTTTTATATTTATATAAACTCTTGTTAAGCTATAAGTCGTACAACTCCTCCAGCCAGATAATAGTACAGCTCGAGTCATCTAATACCAACCAATTTTGCGTGGCATTTTTGAAGCCTAACACGTGGACACACAGAGCACTTTTGGATTCAAACTCTTTATAGTTTTATATAGTAAATTCCAAAGAATAATTCTATGAAAAGTTTTGGGGTTGAACAATTATAATTAAAAAGTTATGGCAATTTTAATTGACCTGAATTTGACACATCGTAAATAATCGATAAAGGACCATTGCCATTTGTTCATTTCTTCTTA